ACTAGGAAGCGCACCATGTCCAAATCACCATATTCAGCTGCAATGCTCAATGTATTTCCGTAATTCAAGGGCTGCTCCTTGTTGGCTCCCTCAGCCACAAGAAAGCGAGCAATGTCGACGTAGTTGTGCTCAACCGCCAATAGCAATGGTGTTGACCCATAGCCGTCAGTCAGATCTTTCTGTGCACCATTTTGAACCAGAAAACGCACTGCCTCAAGGTGGCCATTGTGAGCTGCCTTGTGCAAGGGGGCCATCTCATGTTCTTCGCATGTTGCATCTATCTCTGCACCTGCCTCCAGCAACAGCCGCATCGGCTCAACATGTCCATCTTCTGCAGCATGGTGCAAGGGTGGCATGCCCTCAGGATCTCTTGTGTTCGGATTCTGAGGGCGTTTCAGTAACTGTTCAAGGCCAACTGTATCGTTGTCCCTTGCTGCAACCATCAACTGCTCGTCTTCTGCCACATCTGGTGGGCAAAACTCCAAGACCACCAGCTGAAGCTTTTCAGGCACTGGGGTAATGACATCATCATCTGGGATCTCAACAGCATCACCTTCCAGAAAGAGTCTTTGTCTAAATCTGGTGACACCAATCTTAGGTGCCAAGGCTTGCTTCACCGCCTCAGCGGTTTTTCCTTCGAACTCAGCTGCCTGAAGCAAGGCAACTTTCTCGCCGGATGCCAAGAAACAGACCTCCATTGCACGTCTGTATGAAAAAAATCAACGCTGGCAACCAAAAAAAAATGCCAAACTTTCGAATTTCGGATACGGTGGATGGAAGAAATCCTGCACCAGTTGATATATGGTTTATCCCCTTATAATCCCATGAAATTTACCATGTTTCATAGTCATCCATGAATCATCGATGGGGTATGATAGACATGCCAGTTTCTAGATATCACACGTTGCTTTGACGGATCCAGGGCGGCCGCGGAGCGTAGTTTCCCACCATGCTGATCACGAGATAAGGGGTGTGTCTGAAATTGGGTCCTGACATCTCCCAGTTACCCTCTGGTTATGTCAAAATAGCTATTAAAAATGGCCATTTATAGTGAGTTTTTCCCATCAAAAATGGCGATTTTCCATAGCTACGTTAAATTACCACAGGGTATGACCATTCCAGGGAAATGATGACTAATGCTGAACCACTGGAATGCCTGGTGCCCTATTTCCAGACAAACACATTAATGATAAATTGATCCACGCGAAAAACATGTCTATGTCGAAGCGAAATCATCTATAGATACCAGGAAAAAGTCTTAAGCTGCTTACCCTCTGGTAATTCAACATTGCTATTGAAAATGACCGTTTATAGTTGATTTACTCTAGCCATTGAAATGATAATTTTCCATAGCAGACTGTCAGTCTACCAGAGGGTCAAATTTCCCTTTCATGGCAAGTTTTGTTGACCAATATTTTTTTCACCGAGCTTGACCAAGATTTAAAAAAAATGGATGCTATTTCGGGTTGTCAAATTTGATACCCCCAGTCACATCATGGTTTAGCCATAACGTCGCTGCCAACTTCCCTCATCTTCAAAGAAATTTCATGTTCCAAATCCCTGAAAATCTAAGGCCAAGTTGGCCAAGTTCTGTTGAAGCTCTGTTGAAAATCTGTTCTTTAACACCATGTTTCTCCCATTTTGGCTGGTGTCTTTTAGCCATTTTCCGCCAGAAATCCACAGCGGACTCGTCCAAGTCACCCAGAAATCGCTGCAAGGCTTCACCTGACAGCGAAGCGGCAGCAGCGGAAAGCGAGGTGTAAAATCATGGGATGATGATGTTTCCTTTTTTAGTATGTAGATGTGTGTAGTCTATAGATACTTTATATATTTTATGATTTTATATGTGGGAAATTATCATATTTTCATGGGATAGTGATAATTTTGATCATATTAATGGAATATGAGAATCATGGGATAATACTAGAAAATTGATCACAAACTCGTGATCATTTGGGACTTTAAACAGATCCTTCCTTGAAAAATATCCATTGATGGCGAAGCTGGTGGATCATCCCATCACGAGATCCCGCTGGTGGATCATCCCAATGGGACTTGGTGAAATCTGGTGATCATTCTTGTGGGATAGCTATTGAAAATTGCCATCTATAGATATCTATAGTGGATTTACCCAGCTAGAAAATGGTGGATCTTTCCATAGTTTTTTGTTAACGTTTACCAGAGGGTAATCATTGATATAGGGATTTCAATCGGACTTCTTGTGGGATTTCATCTCCATGGGATATTCACAATGTATGCTATGGGAGTTCATCTCCATGGGGCTTTGATTAGGACTTATTTATTGGATCATCTCAGTGGTTTATGGGAGATAATCCATGACATAAACCACTGAGGATTTCAATGGGACTTTGATTCGACCTTGATGGGCTGTAATGAGATATTTCATGGGATATTGCCGAGGTAAAGACTCCATTGAATTAGACCAAAATACTCCGGCCGACCTATGTACTTGCCAGGTTCAATATCTAATTCCAAAACCTGGTTAGAAAATGTTGGAAATACCCTCGAGCTAAATCAATACCCGGGGTTGATCCTGATTTATTTGGGGTTCCTTGTGGAAGTATTTACATCTGGTTGGTGGTTTCAACCCCTCTGAAAAATATGAAAGTCAGTTGGGATGATTATTCCCAACTGAATGGAAAAATAAAATTCATGTTCCAAACCACCAACCAGATTAAGTGTAGAATTAGCCTCTGGTAAACGTTTACATAACTATAGAAAGATCCACCATTTTGAAGTTCGGTAAATCAAGGAACTAAATGTGGTATCACCCATATTATATAGAGGATAGAATGATAATGCCCATCAAATATATATATATACGCTTAGTCTCCAGTTTTTTCACGCAAATAGGGAAAAGCCACCAGAAATGTAGATCATGTTCATTGGTGTTCCAGTGTTCCATATCAATGTTAGTTAACTCCAGGGCAATCCTTTCCAATGCATAGATCTGATACTAAGGGTTTTAGGGTGGTCGAAAAAATAAATTGTCATTTCACTTACCTAGACTGGAGCTACTGTACCATCTAAAGCCATATTTCAGGGATATATTCTTCCCCGACATAGCCCTTACATAGACCTGAAAAAGGGGTAGGTACCTCCAATGAATCGGTACCTGAAATGGCCAGTGATAATTTCGGGAGAAGGGATTTCCTTGGCTTTTTGCCGGACCATGGACATTTTTAATGCGTAAACGATGATGAAGCCTACAATTTTAAGCGGCACCCTATCTTCAGACAAACTCATGAGTTGAACGGGGGCAAGAAACACATGATTGAAAACCACCAGCCCTACAAGTGAGCAGTGTTTGAAACCCCGTCATGTCATTCCATTGAATCCTGGTTGGCTAAGAACGGGATTCCCCGTTCTTGGATGATGAAATAATCCCCAATGACTATGAAGGGTAGTACCCTCTGGTAAACCAACAGGTTGCCAAGGGAAATGGCCCAGTTGAAATAGAAGAAAACTACCCAGCTATAAAATGGTGGATCTTTCCATAGTTTTTTGTTAACGTTTACCAGAGGGTAAACCTCCATGTTCCTATGGTTTTCCTAAGAAAAATGGTGGATCTTTCCATAGTTATCTCATTATCATCCCTATTGATTCCCATTAAATCCCATCAAAAACCCATTAAATCCTCATAATCATCCACAGGGCTGGATCGCAGCCACTGCTAAGCGTGATGAATCCCATAAAGAGAGATGAAGAAAACAAATCTCCTGATGAACCATCCTGAGCCAAAATCTTCCGTATAATTGGATACTGCTGTTATTCAGAAATTAACAATAATATATTATATTATGTTGTATTATGTCATATTATATTATATTATGTTATATTATATTATATTATGTTTTATTATATTATTATATATTATAATATATTATATTATATTATATTATGTGTTATTAAATTATATTATGTTATATTATGTTATATTATGTTATCTTATATTATATTTTATTATGTTATATTATCTTATCTTATATTATATTATATCATATTCTGTTTTGTTTTATTATATATTATATTGTATTATATTATAATATATTATATTATATTATATTATATTATATACACATTATGACTACATGCATGTGCATCCCACGAATCGGATCCGTGGTTTATAATCCATATATAACCCCTATTTCATCCCATATGTAAGTGGGGATATGCCATGAAAATCTACTGTATCATATATACCATCTGCTTATGACATTCACAGTTTGCCATGGAAAGATCCACCATGCTATTTTCAGTTCGGTAGTCACCATCTATTTCGATAAATGGGCCATGGTGATTTTCCATGGCTAGCCCTGTTAGTCATGGAAAATCACCATGCTATTAATAGGGAAACCATTTATTTCTATGGGCCATGGCTCTACCATGGCTATGTTAGTCATAACCAGGTTGGCTAACTGGGGTTGTTGATCCAACCACGCTAGCCCTGGCCCCCGTAAAAAAAACCAAGTCCCAAGTCCAATGGATTCACCAAGTCCACAGCTATCCGATGGGAGATTTATGGCCACCGAAGAATGGATTCCAAGGGAAACAGGTCTTGAAAAAACCATAGGCTTGTTGTTAATAGATAGATTCACCAGTAGTTCGCTGTAACTATGGAAAATCACCAGTTAATTTTCATACAATGTGAGGCCCCCAGCCACGATAGCTAAGTTGGGGTGAACTAATCTCTCCAATTTCACTATGGTTTATGGTACGCAAATAACGAACTAGTTACTGGGGCGAATCTAAACCAACCAAGATAACTGGGGGGCCCCACATTGTAAGGTTGTTGTAAATCAACCAGTAACTCATATTAACCATATGGAAACAGGTGTTCTTGTTGACCAGTTTGCCATGTGTCTGATCCCAAGTTTCAACATGTAGACGGGTAGACTCATTTCCCATCTCCGCCAGCTTTGAAAGCTTCAAAGAAATACAACGTTTCTCATGGTTCCCTATGTTTTCAGAGGTTCAAGTCACTCCAGCTCCCATTTTCCATCCATCTCTCCCAAAAAAATTTGATGTTTTCCCCATGATTCCACACATTTTCCCCAAGCCTTTTTCTTCCCCCCTTTTTCCCTCGGTCCCAACTCCTTCGCACCTCCACCCTGGCCCCAGAACACCGGCACCGCTGCTGTGCCGCCCAGGGCGGTCAGAGCAGTCGCTTCCGCTGCGTCGCAGTAGAGGCAGGCCACACTGGAAGCCTGGCACAGGAAGAGTTGGATGACATGTGATGATTATTAATATATAATTAATGGATATTTGATATTATTAATAATGGACATGACATGTAATTAATGGTTAATATTAATGGATATTGATGACATGTAATGGTTGATGATGGTTAATATTAATGGTTATTCTTAATATTAACCATATGTGGTTCATATTAATGGATATTATATGGTTAATGATGGTTAATAATGATCTGGTTAATGTGATGATTATAGTGATTATATAATGCTAGTATAGATATTATAGTGAAATATAGTATAGTGATGATCATAGTGATTGTATTACATGACTATAGTGATTATCATCTGGTTGGTGGTTGACCTACCCCTCTGAAACATATGAAAATCAGTTGGGATGATTATCCCATATATTATGAATAAAAAATGTTTGAAACCACCAACCAGTTATATAATACTATTGGAAATATATCCTAATAACCCAATAATCATCACATGGATATTATAATATATATGACTTAATATTACATGTAACTATATTATATACCTGGCACTATAATATATGCTACTTACTATTGGATATTTACTAAAATAGTGGCTATAGTGACTATAGTTACTTTTGAGTTGGATAATAATATACTAATGGTTTATAAATTATATATGATAATATATCGCAATATTAGATTATATATCGCTATATATGAAAATATATAGTCACAATCAGTATTTTAGTGATTTATATATTTATTAGAAAAACTAATGGATGATTGGGGGTACACCCATGGATTGGAAACCTCCATAGAATGCTGATGAGTAATAATGAGATACTAACAGATGATTTAGTGGTGATTTAATTTCAACATCATTCGACCACACGGCCGTCTGGGCAGTGCTTCCAACTGTCCAAAGTTTAACCAGAAATTGGTACCTGGTTTACCCGGAGGGGCTGTTCAGGATCCAAAAAGCTTGAAACATCAGATTAAACATATGGAAAAACACAGCATCTGGAGATTGTCGAGGCACCAACCTCAAATCAAAAACCATTTGGATGAGGTACACCATTATTCCATATATATATATCCTATTATCCCATTGTTGTCCATTTGGATTAACTAATTCTCCTTATGAATTATCATTCCAGTGACGAAAAGCCGTGGTCGTCATAGTTCATCCTGAAACAGCATCAGATCCCCCTGGAAATATTGGTTGGTTAATCTATATATCACCATTTTGTCAATGGCCATTTCAGGAACCTAAATTGTAGCTACCTACCATATGTAAGGCCTATGTAAGGCCTATGTAAGGGGATATCCCTACAAAATATGGCCTTATATGGTACAGTACTTCCATTTTAGGATCCTGGAATTCCCATTGATTTTGGCGCATTTTGGCTTAAATAATCTATTAATCTACAATAATCTCCAATAAAGTACTGAGTAAAACATCCAAAAATATCCAAAAAGCTGTTTTGGGGAGGCTCTGCCGGGTCCAGTTGGCACCTGAAATAGAGGTTGCTGCTCGTGATGAAGGAACATACCTAAGTTACAACAAATCCTCTGGATCTGGCAATCGGATGCAATAGGTAGCTATATACATATATATATATATATATATATATGTGTGTTTATATGTATATATATATATATATGTGTGTGTGCGTATATACCTAGATTGATTTACACATGGTGCAAATTGACCGACTTGAATTTAACCAAGGACTAGAGAAATGAAATAGCATTGATGATGGTTGGAGATAAGTGTTGTGATAGTATACTAAAAGTAGCTAAAAATATAATCAGAAATCATCAAAAAAACATAAAAAAAGTACATAAAACATATAAAAACATACCACAATAGAAATGTTTTATGGTGATAAATCTTAAACCTTATTGTTTGCAGCCAAAGTCATGGAATTCCCGCAACATATCATCCCTTGCATCATCATGCATCATCATCATCATCATCATCATCATCATCATCCTCATCCCCATCCTCATCCTCATCGTCGTCATCATCGCCAACATCATCATCATCATCACCATCATCATTATCATCATCATCATTATCATCATCGTCATCCTCATCCTCATCCTCATCGTCGTCATCATCATCGCCAACATCATCATCATCATCACCATCATCATCATCATCGTCATCATTGTCAACATCATCATCATCATCATCATCATCATCATCATCATCGTCACCATCGTCAACATCATCATCATCATCATCATCATCATCATCATCATCGATGGTTTCTGATGTTTGAGTTTGCTATAAATAATCCACTATGACTGGTTGGTGGTATACCTACCCCTCTGAAAAATGATGGAGTTCGTCAGTTGGGATGATGACATTCCCAACTGAATGGAAAAATATGGAAAAATAAAATTCATGTTCCAAACCACCAACCAGTAACTATAGATTATAGTTAACACTTGGTGGTAAACTGCCCAGGAATCGTTTAGGTGGGTATATGTAAAAAAATGTTCCAGGCTCCAGCAGAAGCGGTCCGTTTCGGTGGCGGCCCCCAGCAGAACGTGCTGTTGGTCAACGTGGCATGAACCGTTCTAAACGATATACCGTCTGGTAAACATACAAAAAACTATGGAAAGATCCACCATTTTTCGTGGGTAAATCAACTATAAATGGCCATTTTCAATAGCTGTGTTTGTTTACCAGAGGGTATCTACTATAGCCGATGTTATAGATCAACTTGAAATAGCTATAAACCGGTTAAACAAACCATGGTTAACCTCGATATACCTACCATGACCCCAAGCCATATAATTATAAAATACATGAAGATACTATAAACCAACTTAACTGTCAGGCGCCCCCGTTGCGTGCGACAATGTCTGCGTCCAAGCGACACCCTGGCCGAGCGTTCTCTGCACCTGCGCTAGTCATGAAGATGAGGAATATCAACCGCTGGGCTATTTAATTGAGGGGGGGAAGTAGGGTTTTTCCCCAAGACATGTTAGCTGTTGGTTGATTTGGCTATGGGTCAATTGTCTTTGGGTACCGCAATAGCTGGCCCCGGTCTTGAATTTGGACCTAAATTTGAAGTCTGGGGTGGACTGGGGCGAACTGGGGCGAACTCTTCAGCAACGAAGATTTCTGAGATTGGCGACATTGCTGCGCAGCAAATAAGTCGAGAAACCTCCTGTAAACTGGCAAAAAAAACAAAAAAAAACAAAACGGAAGTAGGTTTTGTGGATGGAAATAAACAACATGATAGAAACCTTCTACGTTTTCAGGGGTTGTCCAAAAACGGGGTTGTGCGTGGTAAGCTTAATAGTCAACTATCCCCAATATTACAGTAAATGAGTGGTAAATATCATGCCCAAATGGTAGGTCCATTATTGGGTTTGCCACATCAATTGTGTGGTTCATCAACTGGTTAATCTCAAGGGAGAAGCCACAAAACACCAATTTCCCCCTTTGCGGAAGTAGTTTGCTCCTGGATGATTATAATAGTTTTCATCAAGTGGTTAATATACTGTTAATAATGGCTCATATTAATGGTTATTATATGGTTAATGATGGTTAATAATAATCTTGTTGGTGGTTTCAACCTACCCCTCTGAAAAATGGTGGACTTCGTCAGTGATGATTATTCCCAATATATCTGGAAAAAGCATCCATTCATGTTCCAAACCACCAACCAGATATATTGTTATTCCAATTATTAACCATAGATTAACCATAGATTAGCCATAGATTAGCCATAGATTAGCCATAGATTAGCCATAGATTTATAGATGGATTTTCTATTATAAAACAACCATTTGTTTGGGTATAGCTTGCCGCGACCGAAGAGTTTGACCCAAAGTCATCCACCAAGGTCGATATGGAGATTCAACCACCCCGGTACCAGGCAAACTCCCCCTTTTTGGCGTTTTTTATAGTGGAATTTCCCATGAAAAATGATTATTTTCTATAGTTATGTAAACGTTTACCAGAGGGTGACCTATACTGGTTGGTGGTGCAAGTTCACCATCTTGAAAAATGATGGAGCGAAAGTCAATGGGGTTGGGAGGACATCCCATATATGAAATGGAAAATAATCCAAATGTTTGAAACCACCTGGTTCATAATCTCGTAGAAACGCGATTGTTGTTGGTTAAGAGCCGCCCGAAACATGAGCCCAAGCATTTTTGGCTCGGCATGAAACTCAATTTGGGATCAATTTGGCGATCTACCCTCCAGTATGTAATACCTATGGAAATCATGATTTAAAAAGGTAAATCAATTTAAATCTTCTATACATGGACTATTTTGTAATGGCTATGTTAGTTTACCAGAGGGTAGCCACTACGGCGACCCCGTTTTCTTCAACGAATGTGGTGCAACCCGACGCACCTACGACACCTACGATGCCAATGCCGCGCTCGACTTTGAAGTTCGGACCAAAGGCAGCCTGTGGAGTGCCGTCGATAGCCGTCCTGGAGTAGCTAGTCATCAAGTTCAAAAAAATATCACTAAATCCGCCGACCCCAGCAAACTGCAGGGGGAGCGCGCCCGAGAAGAAATGTTGTTGCTAGGTCCTTGGCTGCCACGGTGTTTTGGTGCTGCGAGCAGGTAGCCGCAGGGCTGGCTAATTCCAAGGTTTGGAGCTCGTTTCTATGGATTTCCTGTGGTGCGTAATTCTTGTTGGATGTTCTGACATGTCTGGGTGACCGGAGGAAAACATATGCAGATGTCTCAAAAGAGGAGTGCTCACATGAGTGCTGAAACTTATTTTTTGGCGCTGTAGAGCGACAGTTAGAGGCATTCCACTGGCCTTTGCGTAGATTTTTTGTACTGCCTGCAGAAAGCGACGTTAGGCAGTACCTTGGCTTCAAACGCTCCGCAGCGCCCTTGCCAGCGTTTTTGCCCATCTGTCGGGCCTTTGCCTAGAGCTTTTCTAATGCCTTCAGAAAGCGGCGCACGACGGTGGCCATCTGCCGGGCCTTTGCCTAGAGCTTTTCTCATGCCTTCAGAAAACGACGTTAGGCAGTACCCTGGCTTCAAACGCTCCGCAGCGCCCTTGCCGACATTTTTGCCCATCTGTCGGGCCTTTGCCTAGAGCTTTTCTAATGCCTTCAGAAAGCGACGTTAGGCAGTACCCTGGCTTCAAACGCTCCGCAGCGCCCTTGCCGGCGCTTTTGGCCATCTGTCGGGCCTTTGCCTAGAGCTTTTCTAGTGCCTTCAGAAAGCGACGTTAGGCACTACCCTGGCCTCAAACGCTCCGCAGGGCCCTTGCCGGCGCTTTTGCCCATCTGTCGGGCCTTTTCCGAGCTTTTCTAGTGCCTTCAGAAAGCGACGTTAGGCACTACCCTGGCTTCAAACGCTCCGCAGCGCCTTTGCCGGCGCTTTTGGCCATCTGTCGGGTTCTGGCATAGAGTTTTTCTAGTGCCTTCAGACAGCGACGTTAGGCAGTACCTTGGCTTAAACCTTTTTCCCGGCGCCTTGGCGGCCCAGCAGCATGTCCTTTGGGCACCTGCCGGGCGCTTTCCTGGAGATTTTCTTCTGGTTTCAGAAAGCAACGTTAGGCACTAGGCTGCCCTTAAACGTCTTAAACGTGTCCCGACGCCCTAGGCTGCCCTTAAACCTTTTTCCCGGCGCCCTTGGCGGCCCAGCAGCATGTCCTTTGGCCACCTGCCGGGCGCTTTCCTGGAGATTTTCTTCTGGTTTCAGAAAGCAACGTTAGGCACTAGGCTGCCCTTAAACGTCTTAAACGTGTCCCGACGCCCTAGGCTGCCCTTAAACCTTTTTCCCGGCGCCCTTGGCGGCCCAGCAGCATGTCCTTTGGCCACCTGCCGGGCGCTTTCCTGGAGATTCTCTTCTGGTTTCAGAAAGCAACGTTAGGCTGGCCTTAAACGTCCCGGCGCCCTCAACCCTTCCCGGCGCCCTTGGCGGCCCAGCAGCTGTCCTTTTCCCCTGCCGGGCGCTTTCCGGGAGATGTTCTTCTGTTTCAGAAAGCAAGTTGGCGTAGGCTGGCCTTAAACGTTCCCGGCGCCCTAGGCTGCCCTTAAACCCTTCCCGGCGCCCTTGGCGGCCCAGCAGCATGTCCTTTGGCCACCTGCCGGGCGCTTTCCTGGAGATTTTCTTCTGGTGTCAGAAAGCAGCATGTCCTTTGGCCACCTGCCGGGCGCTTTCCTGGAGATTTTCTTCTGGTTTCAGAAAGCAACGTTAGGCAGTAGGCTGGCCTTAAACGCTTCCCGGCGCCCTAAGCTGGTATATTTACCACCACAACTGGGTGATATGTTTGGGTAAAAATTGGTAAACCTTCCACTTGCCGTCTGGTCAACTATGACATCACTATGGACAACCATTTTTAAGAGGGAATTCAACTATAAATAGCCATTTTCAATCGCTATGTTAGCCATTACCAGAGGGTACATCAGTTGGGCTAACTTACTGGTGCTAAACGTAGGGAATGGATGGGAATGGATGGGTTGCTGGGGGTTGCTGGGCTGATTATTACTAGTGATTGTGGATCATTCCCTGACTCGTTCCCTGCGTTTCGCACCGGTAAGATCATAGCAAATGATCATGATTTTTTTTAGACGAACTTGTAACATCTTATGATCCTACTTGGGGTGTGACGTTACAAATGTAACCATGGGTTATAAACCACAAGTTGGAATATAAGGCATATTAATGACTATGGCTATGATTTGTCTAAGTTCTCCGAAACCGCACTTACAACTAAGTGGGATTTAGGGAAGAACTGTCACCGCCGAGATAGGGACTAGGATGGACCGACATTTTGGACCAAGTGAACCAAGTTGACGGCCATTTGCCATCTTTCTGCGTATGTTCATGATTCATCCCCAAAACTCAGGTTCCGTTCCTCTTGAGGTTCCGCCTTTTTTTTTCTATCCAAAGATTCCCCCATGTTCCAATTGGATCCAGCTCACCTGGAAACCATTTTGAGCCTCCAAACTTCGAACGTCTCAAAGAGGGAGCTCTACACGACAGGTATCGCAGCATCCGCTGTTGCGAGCGATTGGAGCCGAGGAGGCGTTAATTATTGATCATTATTCACCATCAACAAGCAATAACCATCATTAACCATAACCCATTAAACAAATGTAACCCATGGATGGTCTCTCATTGATATATATAGTTGATGCTTGGTGGCGACTGGAATAGATGGCTATCTTCGCTCCACCATCGGGGGATCACCGTCATGGTTGGATAAAGCCCCAGGCATAAAACCACAGTCTACACTCTACACTTGACACTCTTCACACTCACCCTCTACACTCCACACTTAATCCTCCACACTTTCCACTCTACACTCTACGCTTTACCCACTGCACACTCCACACTCCGCACTTTACACTCCACGCTCCTCACTCTGCACCCCACACGCTACCAGGGGTCGGCGGCAGGGGGCGGCAGCCCTTTAATATGAGTGAGTCAGTTGGGCTTATTATTCCCAATATATGGCACAATAAAATTCATGTTCCAAACCACCAATCAGTGTTATAGGGATGTACATGGTTTGTGGTCTCTGGTGGATGAGTGATCATCCCCCTCCCGGCAGGGGCCTTTGCTCCACCTGCCATGGCAGCCACGGCATGCCGTGCTGGCCCCGGCCACGCGTTCCAGGACAGTCTTGGCATCGATATGAACCTTGGTGCTGGGAATGTGTCGTCATTTGAGGATTCAGCCAACCTACCCAAGGTGACTGAAGTTTAACACTCAATGAACCTGTTTACCTTCCAATTTATGGCCAAAAAACAACTGCACAAAAACTTAACACACCATACCAACCCTACTCCTCACGAAGGTGTACAGCCCGCCATGGCCAAAAATCATCCAACAAAATCGACCAGAGAAAGGTTGGTGAAGAAAATCAGCCTCCAGCAACTTAACATAGATATGGAAATATCTTGGAAAT